ATGCAAATGTGCTGTTGTCAGATGTGTGTTGGGCAAAACATGCGAACACGAGTGATGTTATCAGTTTGTCTTAGTTTGAAGCATGGTGTTATTTCTTTGTACCTTCCTCCCACACTCCTGCTTATCTTTAAAATTAAGAGCATTTGGTATAAGGTTGCCATTACACTTCAAAGTGCTTTGTTTTTAACTGTGGCCAATTGAGTATTTTGAATTCCACCCCCTGTTGTACGTGAAGTTCTGACTTGAAAGGTATATGTGCATATAAATCAATGAGCTCAATTATCATTGTCAGTGAAACTTTTTTAAGAGGTTTGAAATCTTAAAGACGGCTCGCTGCATGACAGCAGGGAGGCTGAAATATGTAATTTCATCCTCTCTTTCAACAGGTGCCTCTGCAAACAGTACAGCCTGCCAAACAGACAGGGAAATAATCCTGAACGCTGGTTTTAGGCGGGTATTAGGGCCTTCAGAGAAACGATATATACCTCAACAGATGGTTGTAACAAGAGGAAAGGTTTACAGATACATACCTGATACACTGTTGGGGATTCCTGTCCTCCTATGCTTCAACCTGGAGTGTAAATCATAGTGTCACCAGACGTGGGTAATGTGTAGTATAAGTGTGTAACTGCTGCAGCAGAGTGATAGAGTTGACCTTGAACTGCTGCAACTGAGTACACGGCTGGAATGTTTTTACCAAGGAGGGGACCAGAAGATCACTTGCATACAAAGATGTGCACTTACTCTCAGGGATTTGGGGTCACTTAGGAATGTTGTTGTTGAAAGAAAAACATCAAACTTGCATGTTTTTTGGCTGGGGAGACCTAAAGGAAACCACTGCCGTCACAGGGAGAACATCTGGTTCAAATGCAGAACGTTCTCAATATGAGGGAACGGTGCTAATAAATCATTTTAATGACATATGTAGGTAGATGTAAATATAAAAAGTCCAGATGCATATTAGGCTCCCTTACATCATTAGAAAAGCTGAATTCTTTGCTTATCATCTCAAATTATATTACCTTAAAAGTCACGAGACTATTCTTTTTCTAAGAAATGAAACTATTCCTTTGCTTTGTTAACACAATGTGCACTACTCACTTTACAGAACAGCATAAACTGGCCCTTACTGATACAACAAAAAAGGCTTAGTGAACATTAGGAAAACCTAAAACTGCTTATCTAGAGTGGTGGCCCCATGATCGGAAGGTCGGGGGTTCGATTCCCCTGAACAGCTACCCTGAGGTACCCCTGAGCAAGGTACCGTCCCTACACACTGCTCCCCGGGCGCCCAGTGGCTGCCCACTGCTTCACTGAGTGAATGGGTTAAATGCAGAGAGGAATTTCCCCACGGGGATCAATAAAGTACACTTTCTATTTTTCTCCACACAATCATCTCTGGACTTTACAGAGGATGGTCCAAAGCAAAGTGAGTGACAGTCCTCGGGTCCTACTAACTGTACCAATCTGGGTATTGTTAATAATCATGCCCATCCCTTTATGACCACGCCATGCCCATCTTCTGATGGCTGCTTCCAGCAGGATAACAAGTCACAATGCTCACGTCATTTCAAACGGCTCACTAGACTGCAATTCAGTAGAGCACTGTTGGGATGTGGGGAAACAGGAAATTTATATCATGTTTGTGCGGCCAATGGAAAAAATCTTGGGGGAACGTTTTCAGTATCTTGTTGAATCGATATCATTAAGAATTACTGCAGTTCTGAAAGCAAAAAGGGAGTTTGACTTGGTACTAGTGTGATGTACCTAATATAGTGACCTGTGGGTGTATTTGACTGGTTAAATGCGTCTGTGAGATCAGTCAACTTTACTTCAAGATTATTTAATTTGGGCTGGTCTATAGCTGAACCCTCAAAGATGCTCTATATGCCCAACAGTTTCCAGCTTTTTTAAAACAAAGCATAATTAAAGAGTAATTTTAACGTGTATTAAGCAAACTTGCATTAGTAAAGACAGCATGTCACTGGCGCCCATTAGTAATGCATCCTAAAATTGGGCTTATGGGAGTTTTACATAAACGATTTATGATGAATGACTTTATTAAACATTAACAGCAGGTTTGATGATTTCTTGCTGTATTTGTTTCAAAGCAAAGACATTTAAAAGTGACCCCAGACATTTGAGTAGTAGTGTAATGCAATAAGCACATTCATGCAAATGTTTACTCATGAAGACAAACACAATCTTCTCTTTCATATCCAGAGCCTGCTGTTCGCACCATTCAATTGTAATGAGCACTAATCTAGGAAGTCTGGCTTCTTATCACAAGGTTTTAAACAGTCATCAAGTGTGATTAACTTCCAGAACGATTTGATCAAGCAAGCAGAGCCCAAGAACAAACTTACCATCACTTCACGTCTTAGAAATGTCGTGAAAGGGGCAGAAAATTGAGGAAGTGTGTGCACTGATATGACTAGACTGGCCGAAACAAACCTCATGCTGACACTATTTTTCATTTGTCCAAAAACACGACGCAAATTATAGTACTTTGCTTCAAGCTCATGAAACTGCCAAAGTAAATGTTACATTGGACTGTTTTTGAGGGTGTGTCGACGACTGTTACTCGGCTCGAGGGTCAGAAGGAGGCAGTTAAGTTGTTAATCTCAGCGTCAGGATCTGTCTGGCATCGCGTCCTGAATGTGTCAGCAGAACACTGGGAAACACAGTCTGAGTAGCACACTGAGTGCTATTGTTTTTGTTTTAGCCTAGCTTTAAATCCATGTTGGCAAAGAATGCTGGGGATCAGAAACAATGGTTATTATGAGGCCTGAAATCCACTTTAACCAAACTTAGACATAAGTATAGCTGCTAGAGCGTATGCGATTCATAAATAAGTGGAAATGCTGATTCTGCAGCTCTTTTTTATGCCCACATTTGAGCTTCAATTAGTTTCTGTAGATAATAAGAGGATTTTATATCTGGTGCTGGTCCCAGAAAAGAGTTTTTGTGGCTTAATCAACAGAAATGGGGCCACCAAGCAAATATTGAAGCAGCATTTTAAATTATGGAGGGAATGGGTACTATAAAATATTGATTTTTTTTCACATCAGGAAGGAACACAGAGACAACTGACTGCTTTCTACTGCAAGAATGCCTTTGAAGTTAATAAAGTTAGAGCGAAAACAGACAAAGCATTAACTTTTTTTAAAAAATTAGGATTTATGTCTTAAACTGATTTACGGCCTTGTAAAGTTTTATTCTTTTGTATTGGATTTATGCAGGTTTAATACCTCCATGTGCAGAAAATCTGCTTATGTGAACCTCTCTAATGCAGTGTTTGACCCTGCATAAAGAATCATTAAAAACATTTTTCCTGAAATTTGCAGAAGAAGAAAAATTCTAATATGTATGTAGATATTTAAAATGTACTTTAACCTTTGGCAAAAACGTTATCATGCAAAGCTGTTCAAATTTGAGTTAATTTGGCACACTTTAACTTTCCAACTATTGTTGGCATACACACAGTAACAAAAACAACAATAATGCTCCACCAGTACACTAAGCTTAGGCTAAATAAGACCAGATGTGAATGAGGAACGTGGTCTCTGTACTCCCCCTTGTTTTGTTTGTTTGTGGCATCATGCATCCTCAAATCGGCCAGGACAAATTGATCTGAGGCAGAGCTATTTGAAAACGATTGTGCTGCACACTTCGTTCCTCTGGGCAGTTCTTCTTTTGAATGAAGAATCTGAAATGTTGTGATCTAATTATTATAGACTGGCATGCCTGATCTATTTAGTCCTCATGTGGATGTTGACGTGTGGGGCCGAGGTAGAAAACAAAAGGGAGGGGCGGGCACAAACAGGAAACATATGGTCCAAAATAGAAAAGTCTGGTCCCCAGTGTGATGATGTCTTCTGTGGAAAGAGCACATGATTGACAGAAGCAAAAATATTCACTCAGATTATTACTCAGATTATTATTTTTTTTTCATATTTTCAGAAACCCATAATCTCATATCGCATACCCTATCCAAGAGGCTTTAGCTTGCCCACAGTTGCTGGGGATATGCAAGCCACTTTACAACCCATCTCCACTCCAGCAGTTTCTCTCTTAATTAATGCCATGTCTGTTGTGTTTAATGTCAGCTTTAGCTGCTCAGTTGGCAGCATTAATCAGTGGAAATAATATCTCACTACACAGAGTATCTGTCCTACTGATAATAACTTCCTTTCCTGACTGATGGAAAATGATATTGATATAATAGATGTGTTTCTTCATAATGCTTGGCTTAATAATCCAAATGTGGATCTAATAAATAAACTGAACTTTAAGACCAGCTGACTCTGGTTAAGTTTACTTCTGCACCCTAACTACCAGTATCAAGCTTTACTCATAGCTGTTTAGACTTCTTGCTGAATATGAGGCGTTTTCAGATGTTTTGTGCTACTTTAGCAGAGCCAACATGCTTAAATGAAATGCATTTGATTAGAGATTGTAACATGTCTGTTCAGAAAATGATGGTTCAGAATATGTTGGTAATTGTCATAACCAGTCATTACCATTAGTGATTTGGCTGCTGCATTTGTAAACACCAGCTGCAGTTGTCAAAGTAACAAAGGGTCTGTCTCCTATGGTATCTGGAAAGAAGATTTCAATTCAATTCAGATTTATTTATACAGCCTAAATCACAACATTTGCCTCATTATGCTTTATATTGTAAAGTAAATAATAAATAAACAATAAATGGAAAAGTGCTTTTACATCGGAATATGATGCAAAGTGGATGAATAAAATGCATAAAATATTACCAAGCAACTACCATTAACATACCGTCAATGCTTTGATAACCCAGGGTCTACTGCAGGTGCTCAGGCCAGCCGACTGACATCTGAAATCTTGATAAAAGGAGCAACATGCTTAATTTCTGCTTCATAAAAAGAAATGGAATTTCTAACTGTGATCAGCATTTTAGCTTTGTGGAAAAGCGAATATTTTTTGACTTGGTATTAAAGCACTGTCTTTGTGTCCATGTGCAGGAGCAAGAGGACCCCAACAAGCTGGCCACCAGCTGGCCCGACTACTACATCGACCGCATTAACTCCATGGCGGCTGTAAGTTAAACTGATTCTCCACTATTTTTAAAAAAGATAAGAGAAGACACATTCTGCTTTTGCTTAGTTTGCATCATATATGTACCATGTACTCTCTTTAAACATCTGTCATAAAATGCCATAGAAATGGTTGTATGATGGCCGTCTCAGGAATGCATATTACCCTAATAACTACCATTCAAGCATTGTGTTTCTGAGGGGCCAAATCTGCTTGTTTCCGACCACGCATGAAAAATATCAAGGGCCTATTAAGGGAACATAATAAGTCCCCTTTACAACAGCTTTAGGAGCATTGATGTTACTGAACTCTAGTTAATGCCGACCCCACATAGGTCACTGTTCGCTCAGCTGTTCTCTCTTAGATATCTTGGCTGGCGTTTTATCATCTCCCTGCTGACTGCTTGTTATATTCACATGAGCACATTCCTTCGTTGTGACCCCAGCATTCACACACACTGCGATGACAAACAGGCCATTT